CTACTGAGTCTGCCTGAGAGACAGGCCGTTCTTGTATGCTTACAAATACGCTAGATCTGTAATACCAAAGTTCATGCAAAGCTCAAGTTCTAAAACAAAACAAAGTCTAAAAGTGGACTAACAACCAGAACTTTCTGTCAGAGTTTACAGCTGGTTAACATAATGAAGGAGACAGAGATCCAACATGGCTCAGGCTTTCTCAGCAGTTGCTTGTCACTTGCTGAGACTGCGTCACAAAGCAGAAACTCTGTAGAACAAGGGTGATACCCAGAATCTCCAAAACATTTTCCTTCACTATCCAACCGACAGATTGAAACTAATCCCACATCCTTCAGAGAGCAAGGCAAAAGTAAGGTAGCCACTTCAATCCAGATGAGTATACTCAAAAAAATATTATAGCCCTTGCCTATCAGTTTTTTTCTCTGGCTAGCATTCATCTCCTGTATCCACACATGTATCGGAGCTTCAACTGGCCAGAAAGATATACATATTTCTCTTGGAGACACCTCAGCTAAGTGATTTTGGGTACTCTTGTTCGTAACTGAAACACAGTCTTTTCATGTAATGCACTGATGAAAATAACCTAGTCACAAACATTCACTTGCTGCTTGTGACTGATAATGTTTGGAACTCTGCGCCGGCTGCTGAAGATGAGGACAGAATACACATGGGAATGCCCCGAGTGCTGTGATGTAAATTCCTGACTCAACTCATTTCAACTCGACAGTGATAATGTGAAGCTGACTAGTTCTGCTTTTCCTCTGGTTTGAAATCTTAGCTCACAAAACACAAAGATGAGGATTGTCATGGTATCAACTATAACTGGGAGCCATGGTAGTGTCAAAAACTGCCTGCTGGACTGAAGGTCAAGGATTCAAATCCACACAGGGGAAGATTTTTTTTTTTTACAGTTCTCCTTGGCTCTTGTGTTGACGCAGCCTAAAATGGGCAGAAGACAGTGTCCTGGGAGGTAAATGCAGCTGACATAATGACCACATAACTTTAGAGTGTTGACTGGTCTCTATGCTTGATGTACAAAAGACATGAAAAGTATCCTTTTCTTCACACAAACACAAACATATATATATATATATATAAAAGCCACAGCTAAATGAGATGGGACATCCACCAGAGACATATATCTCTGCAGATCTACATATTCAAGATTTTTTACGGGAGATTTCTGTTCTCAGAAATGCATAACAAAATGCATTCAAACTGCTGCACTCAGCGCTGTTCACTCCAGCTCTAACATTTAAAACACATCTTGAGATTCTGATTTTATGGCAGTATAACTTGTGATGCTTACAGTAAGTGGGTTTTAACTATGCGTTCCAATGTGGGATCAGGGGTCCCTGGGTGTGTGGGTGGGGAAAGTTGGAGGGGGGTTTAGATCCACTGCCCCTTAGCAAGCATGTTGTCTTAGAGAAAAAAAAAATGTATGTTTGAAGAAAGATTTAAAGGTGAGAGGATTAACTTCATTGCACAAGGTTTTATCCTGCAGAGCTCAGTATCTCTCTCTCTCTTTCTGTTTGCAAAATGCAGAGCTGATAGATGATAGCATTGTACAAAGCATAAACTCTACAGCTCCACTGATGATCCGGGGCAAATGCACCCATAAATTAAAATAATAGTCTAAAATTGAAACTGTAGAGTACGAGGCAAATGTCCTGACAACTTCATCAAGATTTCTTGATGTCCCATAAGTTTCCAAGCACAGAGGGAGGTGTGGGGGTGTGTTAAGGAACAAATTTATATAACATAATTTTCCTGTCTACCATTGTTTTTGAAAACACATTGTGATGTGTATTCTCCACTACTAAAGAGCATGTATAAGCACAGCCAGAGTTATGCTTGTGGTGCCATTGGTGATGTTTATTTTTGCTGTGTATGGAAACTTATGAGATGCCTTGTATGATGACATCAACTATGTCCCTCTGTATAGCACTACAAACTGCCAGTCAAAGCAATCAAAACTCTGACACCTGCAAGATTGTTAATTAATAAACATTGTGGGAGGAGAGAAACACTTTCCCCACACATTTTACAGAAATTTAAAAAAAACCGGCACTTGCAAGACTGTTAATCAAAAAGAAGATTATCAGAGATGGGGGAAATAACCTTCCCCCATGCATTTTGATAAGTGTTATTTATATACACACAGATTAAAATCCCTAATGCGGCATCAACTAAAAGAGTAACAACTTAAAACAATTTGGCAAAACCCTGGAGACAAAATGATATTCTTGATATGTGATGACTCTACATGAAGTCTTGCTTCGGCACTTAATTACTGAGTTATTTTCATTACGTTAATATCTCACTGCATCGCACATCAGCAACATAACAGATACTGAACATCAGAACAAACTTTGAGACTATTCACAAAATCATGATTCTTTCAAAACAATACATGTCCTAAATTCAACATTCTACTTTATAACATCAGGACTACTCATAAAAATCATTAACTTAATTAAATCAGGATTAACCATAAAATTATCATTCTTACTACATACTACCTTATAATATCAGGACTTCTGACGAAATCTTTATTCTCACTACACACTACTTTATAACATCAGGACTCCTCACAACTTCATCGTCTTAATACATACTACTTTATAACATTAGGACTCCTCACAACTTCATCGTTCTTAATACATACTACTTTATAACATTAGGACTCCTCACAACTTCATCGTTCTTAATACATACTACTTTATAACATTAGGACTCCTCACAACTTCATCGTTCTTAATACATACTACTTTATAACTTCAGAGCTACTTAGGAAATCACCATTCTTCCTACACACTACATTATAATATCAGGACTTTTCATAACATTGTTGTTCTCACCACAGTCCACTTTATGAAATCAGGACAGGACCGATCCGCTATAGATTGGCCAGAAGCGGCAGTGACATGGTACAACCAAATAGCGACTTAACCCACCAAGAGATGAAAACAATACAATCTAGTATCCAAGAAAGGTGGCTGGATACCCACACCAGATTTTCTCCCCAAGACTCATTTCATCGCCTCTCTAGAGAGGGACAGTGTATTATATTCAGACTAAGGACTGGGCATAACAGATTTCGTCAACATATGTTCACATTTTTCGGTGTAGGAAATATGGAGACTTGTCCCTGCAGCGTGACACCCGAAAATGCTGAGCATGTGCTTCAGCACTGTCAACTGTATTCTGACAACAGAGACGCAATCTGGCCTGTTTCAACCACACTGAAGACCAAACTGTATGGTACACGAGAGGATATGGATTGCACGATAGCTTTCACAAAGGCTACCGGCCTCTTTTCTGACAGAAGGATCGAAGTAGAAGAAGAAGGACAGGACAGGACTACCCATAACATTTTCTTCCTGGCTAGATGAAATTATATAATACCAGGAATTCTTATGAAATCTTCATTCTCGCTACACATTACTTCATGAAATCTGGACTACTGCTGACATCATCGTTCTTAATACAAACTAATTTACAACATCAGGACCACTCAAGAAAGTGCTTTTCACTACAACTACTTTAAAACATCAGGACTACTCATAAAATCTTTGTTCTCACTACATACTACTTTCTAGCATAAGGACTACTCGTGAAATTATTGTTCTCACTACACACTACTTTATAATATCAGAATTACTCATAAAATCTTGGTTCTCGCTTACACACTACTTTATAACATCGGGACTACTCATGACATCATCGTTCTTACTACATATTTTAATACAACAGGACAACACCTGAAATTCGTCATTCTTATTACACACCACTTTATAAAATCAAAACTTTTTGCCAACAAACACACATCAGTAAACTGGCAGGAAGACTTATTATTCGGTCCACATTACTGCTGGCAGTTTGCAGACAATCAGTATCCTCTAATCAGACACAAGATTTGGTAAACACATACAGCAGTGATAGCATGTTCATTTTCTGCAGTTGAGGCAGGCTCTACATGGACATTATCCTGGATTCATATGTGCCAAAGTGAGAAAGGCAGTGCAACTTCTGGCTTCATGTGTGTTCCAGAGTTGTGATTCTTGTGTAGCCAAAGGAATTAGCTCTTGGCTTCACATGTGCCAATGTTGTGGAGCAAGGCAGTGCAACTTCTGGCTTCATGTGTGTTCCAGAGTTGTGATTCTTGTGTAGCCAAAGGAATTAACTCTTGGCTTCACGTGTGCCAAAACGATGGTTCCTGTATAGCAAAGGCATGTAACTCCTGGTGTGAAGTGTGCCAATGTTACGGTTCCTGTGTAGCAAAGGGATGTAACTCCTGGCTTGAAGTGTGCTAAAGTTATGGTTTCTGTATAGAATGTAAATGTAACTTCTGGCTTCAAATCTGCCAAGGTGGTGGTTCTACTGACCAAGGGAATGCAAATGTTGCATGCTATCTGTCGGCATGCTGGGTCAACTAAATAACCACACCTTGGTAAAACCTCACTGGCCTATGGTACTGCCAGTGTAAAGCTTCATCCTGCGTCTTCTTAGGCTCCCTTCAAATATAGGATACTGGCATTTTTAATGCCTTGAATTCTTTAAATTCTCTGTGTAACCCAGGATATAGCAATTACATGTCAGTATTTCCTGAAGGTAAACCGAGATCTATACTGATAGTCTGAACCAGATTCCAGCACTAATCATGTTCATCTATCAGGGAAATGTACACAGTCAGAGAAAAGCACACAAACTATAACCACCAAGGCAATTCCAGGACTTCACTACAAATCAAATATAGAAATGTAACCACAGAAAACATCATGGACAATGGCAACAGCTGGAACTGGCAAAGAATACATAATGCATCATTTGATGTTCTTCATTCAGATATTTGCATAGGATGATCTATAACCACATGAGTAGCCCTAGGCTCTCCACTAGGCCACTTGATGTCTGTGTGGGTATGTTTTCGTAATCTTGATTTCTGATGTTCAAACAATCTCACATTCACATTATCTGCGGCAGCAAAGACATGTTGTTTATATCCTAGTCTCAAACGGATTGCTGCGAGCTGAAAATCCCGGGTTAGTTACTGTTCTGGATTTTCCACTTTCTATGTCCACCTGGTCGTATTTAGGGATCTGATGTGCTGGGCCCCACTTTGGCGTTGGGTGACACATACGCCTGATTTTCTGTTGGCAAGAGAAGTACAGTTATGTAAACAGACCAGAAAGAGGCCGGTAAATAACATTACATTCAAGTACACACTAATTTAATTTATCTTGCAACCCAAACGTCTCTTTTGTATTTGATATCAGCAAGTTTTCTATGCAAACAATTTATTTTAATATATTTTCTCTATAGACTTTTTATTTCAATATAATTTCCTTGGTAAGTGGTACGCCTCACGTTTTCGCGCCCAAAAAGGGAGTGACTTCACTTCCCATTCATTAATTGCTATGTTACATTGCTTGTTCTATGTTGTGAGGGTGTCACACTATATGACCGGCTAACAACATGCAGCATTTTACTAGCTGTTGTCAACGACCGGCAATATCACACATTCTATATTATAGGATGTGAGTGCTTTTAACGGCCCCAAAACATGCAGAACGGGCCCTAACCCCAGCCCTCATATGTCCCACGAGAGAGTGCAACCTACATTACACAACTGCATGCAGCCTAGGTCACAGGACTCTATGCAGCGTAGTGTGGCACCCCTGCAACACAGAACAAGCCGTGCGACACAGTGATTTATGAATGGTAAGGGAGGTCACTCTCTTTCTGGGCCCAAAAGCATGAGTTGTAATCTGTAAACTATTTGCTTCAATACATTTTTTGCTGTTAACTTTTTAATTTCAATATATTTTTCTACGATAACTATTTATTTCAACACAGTTTTTTTCTCCATAAACTTTTTACTTTTTATTTAAATATTGATGTCTCTGTAAACTTATATTTTCTCTACAAACCTCTAGTTTCAGCAAATTTTCTCTGTATACAGTTTAGTTTTGGCACATGTGTGCCCCCCCCCCCCCCCCCCCCCCCGACTATTTTAGTCTCAGCCTGCTTTAGTGTGATGTGGAGAAAACAAACTCATTTTGTATGGTTTCTGTGTCTTTGGCTAAATGGCTGCTGTTATCTGAGGGATGAGAATCAAACAGGTACAAATCCCAGAAACCTTGTTCAACCGTACAGCTCACTTATATTGGGGCATCACAAAACAGCCATGAGGTAACCTGCAGTCAGTGTGGGCGGGTTGGCAAAATGGTGCAACCTCATGCTTTTTAACAGACTAGTCACTACTCAATGGCCGATATGCTTAATATTATACTGGCCACATTTACTTCCGAGAATATTCTGTGGAATCCATTTTTAGATTAGGTCAAACTAAAAATAAATGCATGAAGTATTGAATAATTGGATTTTTTATTTTATGAAGTGGTGTCCATTTTAGGCAAAGTGGAAATAGCAAGAGAAGTCTTTAAATATTGACCAATAACATTTGTTTTTCTTTCTTAACCATCCGGTATCAATATTGGGCTTAGTCAAAATAATATCAGAAGGCATAAAATATTGACCAATAACATTTGTTTTTCTTTTTTTTAACCAGCTGGTATCTATATTGGGCTTGGTCAAACTAGCAACAGAAGGCACAAAATATTGACCAATTACATTTGCTTTTATTTTTTAACCAGCTTGAATCTATATTGGGCTTGGTCAAGCTAGTAAGAAAAGGCATAAAATATTGACCAATTACATTTTTTTTTTTTTTTTACCAGATGGTATATATTTTGGTCTTGGTCAAAATAATAACAGAAGGCATAAAATATTGACCAATTACATTTCTTTTAACCAGATGGTATATATTTTGGTCTTGGTCAAAATAATAACAGAAGGCATAAAATATTGACCAATTTGATATTTTTTCTTTTACTAATTGGTATCTATTCTATCCTATCTCCCAGCTCTTAAGAAAGAAAGTTGACGCTTTTGAGCTGAAATGCTACAGAAAGATTCTCAAAATACCATGGACAAAGAAGAGAAGAAGAAGTACTGACATTTTAAAAGATCTGAATATCAAGGAAAATTGGCTAATAAACAGCATTTTGGTCTTATCAAGTGCTATAGTGGATTGGAAAAAATATTAGCAGAAAGCATGGTACCAGGAAGGAGGAGCAGGGCCGACCAACACGAAGACTGGGCACATGATAAAAGTGACTCCTTGAATAGGTGACACAAGTATGAATACAAATGACTGACCTCTCTCAAACTCTTCTCCTTCTGTGAGCGGTAGAATCTCCAGGCACCCAAGCCAACGATAATAAATATAGGAACAAAAGCCATGAGCCAGCCGCAGAGCTCCGCCCACATGGGGTATACTTTATCATTGTATGACATCCGTTTGTAGTCAATCCAGTTGAAGAACAGCAGAAACTTGAAAACAAATATGAAAATACATAATTATTTTACATGCGCCAAAGCAAGTCAAACACTAAGCTAAGCATCATTTACTCACCCTAAAATCTTCTTCTTCTTCGTTGTTCACCGGGTATGAGCTCCGGCAGAAAATCCTGGTTGTTCCTCCATTTGGACTTTGGCTTTGTGCCAGGCCCTGAGTTTTGCATGTACATCCGTTTTACTGTCTTATTTGTGTGCAGTTGGTTGTTCCTTTTTGGGCAGATACAGTCCAACCTCGAAGGAAGTCCACAGTGAGTCGACTCCTAAGCCATGCTTGCTAGAAAGGCAGCAGGTCTATTCTTGTTTCCCCCAATATGGGGCCCAAGAACCCAAATCGAGATCACCCTAAAATTGTATCATACACACTTTTTTTTTTTTTAAAGTCTGCAATCATCACTTAAGTGGGCTCCACAAACACTACACAATCACTCTAAAATGGTATTATACACCTAAACAGTCGGCATATGTGGCTACCCTCTAACAATGTGTTTACTAAAGAATATATCATGTCAGGTATAATCAACAAGCTTGTGAATGACGGTGTGGTGAACAAGTTAAAATACATACAATCAAAACTTACAATAAGTGTGGCTGGTGTTAAAAACTTCCAGAAAAATGTGAAGAACAAGTGCCAGGCTCGGCTTCGGCGCCCAATCATCATTTCGATGTCTCGGATAAACGTGTCAGCACCTGCAGATGCATACAAACCAACTTCTGAGTCCCAGTCCACATTATCAGTTACAATTATAATTTCTAAATATCTTACTAAAAAAAAAAAAATTGAAGAGCAGATCAACAGACAACCACCAAGAATTTTGTTAAACAGAGACAGACAACCACCCAGAATTTGGTTGAACAGAGAACCTACCATATAGCCAGGCGATAATAATACATTCCAAAATGGCCATAATGAAGACAGCCCAGCTGGCAGCATACGTATCCATCAGCTGAAGAACATACATGCCGCCCTAGAAGGAAAAAAAAAAAAAAATCACATCAAGCACTGATTACACACAAACTGTCAGCACCTGTAGATAAGGCGCTGCCAATGTGCTTTGGAATTCCAAGATGCAAAATTTTTCCTTTTCTTCGTGTTCACCGGCTGTAAACTTCCAGTGAAAAGTTATGGTTGTTCATGCACCTCTGGACTTTTGTCTTTTCCCCACATCTTGAGTGTTGCGTGCACATCCATTTACCAGATCTGGCTTATTAGTATGCTTAGTATTCTTGTCTCTCAGGCAGATGCACTGTGACTGTGTCAAAAGATGCCCCCCATTAACAGACTCCTGCGTCGTGCTTGTTGGGGAGGCAAAGGGTCTTCGGAGCTGACACAGTTGAGGTGCCAGGTTTGATCCCAGCTGCTGGGGATCTAGCAGCCGACTGCCTTGCAATGGTTTTAATATTGGTGTCGAAAGCCGACCATTTCGAAGCAATGGCAAACTGCTGAACATAAAACTGCCTTGTAAGATCATAAACAGCCTAAAAATTGACAGGCCTGGTTCTTTAACATCCTTTAAATGATATGAAACTAACTTAACTATAATAAACACACTAAATAAAATTTATTTAATCAATTACAGCAGTGATGATTCATAAAAGCACACAAAGATACTCTTAACTGGTTTTTTGCAGGATCATTTTCACTGCAAATAGAGCATTCACATAAATGCTCTGATCTTCAGGCATAATTTATAGTGTTTATCCCTGCTCAATGGTCCACCTCATTCTAAGAGAAATGCAAGCTGGAGTCAGAGGTGCTGGGGCAAAAGGAGCAGATAGTGCAGAAAAGTGTCACAGCTGCATCTGAAAACTAGGCATCATGCAACTACTCCTTGTAAAAAGAATGAGAAGTCCCAAGATGCACTGTTTGGGACAGGAGGAGTTAAGGACTTTCAACATCACAAAGATCAAGACAAAACCCAAAACACACTATGAAGTATGCTCTCCGACCACTCACCTTAAATAGGACCTTAGAAGGCACGTGACGAAAAGTACAAGTGAAAACAGTACATAACACAACACCTAGAAATCAGTACTTGCCTCTGTGCAGACTATGAGGCCACCGAGATATCCTATGATTGATACAGTGAGAACCACAAAAACTTTCTTCTGTCTGAGAGGAGGGTAGGTGTCCTGCACCGCGGTCATCACAGTCTCTAGCAAAGCAAACTGCAGAAGAGACACAAATAAGTTCACAAAAGTTAATTCCAATTTTGACAAATCAGATATTTTACAAAGTTAAAGATGCATTTTACAATGTTATTTCTGTAGTCTACCATCACATTGCCTGTATTTAACACTATTGGGGGTGTAGGCAGGGAGGTGTCTGAGCCAGAGAATTAAGGGCTGCACAGGTGGACCAGCTCTAGCCTAGTGCTGTCAACATGGGCTGTGTAGGTTACTATTTTATTTTGCCTATGACATAAAAATGCTCAATCTTACTGAGGATTTGAACCTGCGTCTCCCGAATGAGAACCCTGCATTCTTAACATTCGGCAAGCCGCTCCTCTGCAGTCTCCAAGTTTTTAAAAAAAAAAACTTACTGGCAGATACTGTTGTGAAAGCTGTGCTATCGCAGCGGCCGTGTAGTCAAATCCTACTCAAAGTTCATTTTTAAAACTGGCCTAGGCTCTCAGGTTGGTCAGCCTAACATGGATATCAGGAAATGCCTTGTGACATAAAGGTGACCTAACAATAACGATCATATCACCTGCAGAGCGCCGCTCAGTCTACTAGAATAAGGGACTAGCACATTATACTTGAGGATCCTGGGTTCGTTTCGCAGCCGCTTCATTTAGTTCATGGCTATATGGAGATCCCTGGCCATCGTCACCAGAGCTATGGAGTTTGTGCTCTGTGTGCTGTCTCATCTGGCAGCTAGCTATTCTGTGGAGAGAGACTGAGCCATATGGGATAACACCCAGTGCAATGAAGAGCTATCCTCTGACCTTTAACCACCCCTGAAACAAATCTAAATCTAAACAGTCATATGGGATAACACCCAGTGCAATGAAGAGCTATCCTCTGACCTTTAACCACCCCTGAAACAAATCTAAATCTAAACAGTCATATGGGATAACACCCAGTGCAATGAAGAGCTATCCTCTGACCTTTAACCACCCCTGAAACAAATCTAAATCTAAACAGTCATATGGGATAACACCCAGTGCAATGAAGAGCTATCCTCTGACCTTTAACCACCCCTGAAACAAATCTAAATCTAAACAGTCATATGGGATAACACCCAGTGCAATGAAGAGCTATCCTCTGACCTTTAACCACCCCTGAAACAAATCTAAATCTAAACAGTCATATGGGATAACACCCAGTGCAATGAAGAGCTATCCTCTGACCTTTAACCACCCCTGAAACAAATCTAAATCTAAACAGTCATATGGGATAACACCCAGTGCAATGAAGAGCTATCCTCTTGCCTTTAACCATCCCTGAAATAAATATAAATCTAAACAGTCATTTGATGAAACTCCCTGTGTAGGTTCTGGCGTCCTCTTGGTGGGCTGGGGTCCTCTTGGTGGGCTGGGGTCCTCTTGGTGGGCTGGGGTCCTCTTGGTGGGCTGGGGTCCTCTTGGTGGGCTGGGTCCTCTTGGTGGGCTGGGGTCCTCTTGGTGGGCTGGGGTCCTCTTGGTGGGCTGGGGTCCTCTTGGTGGGCTGGGGTCCTCTTGGTGGGCTGGGGTCCTCTTGGTGGGCTGGGGTCCTCTTGGTGGGCTGGGGTCCTCTTGGTGGGCTGGGGTCCTCTTGGTGGGCTGGGGTCCTCTTGGTGAGCTGGGGGTGGGGAAGGGGGGAGGGGGGGGGGGTAAGAAGAGAATTGCGCAAATGTCCCCTAACAAACATGTCATGTGAGGCGACTAATCAGGAGCATTTTCCACCGAAGTCGGAACATATCTGCCTGAAACGCCAGCAACCAACAGTCTGCATACAAATATACCCGATCTGTAAAATGCATGTGCATGCAAAACGCAGGCCCTGGAATAAAGCCAAGCCCAGAAACGAAACAAACAAACAAAACCAGGATTTTTGGAGCTTACAGCCGGTGAAAGCAGATAGACAGACATAACAAAGTGGAAGAAAAAAAAAAGATACAACTGTATATGCTTAAGCTAAAATCAATAAATATGAAACATCTTTACCTCACTGCCCATGCCCAATGTAATCAACATGAAAAAGAATAGAAATGACCACAGAGGAGGAACAGGCAATCTGGTTACTACATCTGGGAAAACGACAAAAGCCAGCCCAGGACCTGAATAAAGGAAAGAAAATATATATTTATTTCACAGTTAAAGGGCAGCTTGTGTAAAATTAGTTTCTTTTTTATTCTGGTGTGAATTAGGTTATAGTTATCTCTTATGAAGCACAATTTATCATCATCATCATGGTATGTATATGACACCCGCGCTTTTGTATTTTTATTTAATATTCATACTATGAATTTGTATATATGAACACAAATATGCTTTAAATATAATACTCATACAACTGCTGAGTGAAAGAGTGTTTGAAGGGGCCAAATGAAAGATAAGGCCTGCATGCACAATTTCTGGCCCTTTGAAAATATAGTTTGTTTCTTGGTTCATCACAATCCTATAACACAAGTGTGACTCCCCAACAAACTCCTTCCAGCTGTCAGTCACATGCAATGGATTTGATGTTTGCATGTTTCAGGCCTGTCTGCTCTGCCAAATTCTGTATCTGGGTTCTTTGTCTGCCCCTTCTACTCTACAGTGCCCTATAGCATCGTTCTGTACCATAAAAGACCAACTTTTCAAAAGAAGCACATTTATATAATGTTCTTTAAATTCAGTGTTTGCTCTATTTTCTTCCAGTGAAGAGGTATCTCACAACACTGCTTTACCAAAAATACAAATAAAATGATTATGTATTAGTTTTGCACTTATTTGCAAAACCAAAGCTAATGAAGTGTGTCGTGTGGAGTCAAACTACAATTGTGTACAAAAGCAGGTTGCATAGAATAGATACTCTCTAGTAAAGAAGTCACAAATAATTGTACTTCAAATCTCTCACAAACCCTTGAAAACTGTGACATCCTTCCATCAGTCTTGCATCACCAAGTTCTCCAGTTCATTCCTTTTTATAACATGTCTGAAAAACACAGACCATCTACGTCCATTTCAGTTTACGACTTTCATCTGTCCTGAGGAAGACTGCCGCCTCTGTTTTTCTATCATTGCGTTCTTCTGTTTAAAAAAACAATGCTACTTCTCTGCTGCGAGTAAAGTCTACAGGAAGAGGAAATATACAAATGATCAACATCAACTTCCTTGAAGATCTAACAAATATCCTACCTTGTTTGACAACATCCCCAACAGGCATATCCAATTCTTTAGCCAGGTAACCAACAATGCTGAAGATAACAAACCCGGCAAATATGCTCGTACAGATGTTGCCCACACCAACAATAAGAGAATCCCTGTAAACATAAGAGTCATCAAAATAATATTGTGAGAATATTACTATTATATACATATTTCTTCTTCTTCTGCGCACATCCTTAAAGGGGTGGCTGTCATGTGTTGTGGTTTACAGCAAGGCTGCGATATGCGCGCCTTTCTGTCCTATACATCTGATTTCAGCAAACTCTTAATTTGTTGCTTTTTTCCAACATGCTTATTGGTGGGAGGATCCTGTGAATTCCCTTTGTAACTTTATAATTACAAGATACCTGCTATGATTCTAGCTGCAGGCGATTTGGCAGCAGATCGCTTTCTACTGATTTAAAATCTTTTACCGTTGAAAAAGCAGTAAAGTAGATGAGATACGGCCTAGGTGTAAGCGGTGTGCCAACCTCCATTTAAGGTGCAGGAGGAGAAACATTTTTTTTCCATACCATATTTTTTTTTTTTTTACCCAGTACCGGTTCTAGACCCAGCAGTGGCGAGATTCTTTTTTCTAAACCAGCACTGCTCTGGGTCAACCCAGCTGTATAAATAAGACGTAAATATTTTAGTAAATGTCTTTAAATTATGTCTAAAGAAAATACGGTGAAAAAAGTCACTGTTGTCCTGCATCATTGCACTGTGACCTAGAATATATGAGGCCTATAATTCCACCCTGCTGGCAGAATCTGCTATGGTGCTACCTGTTAAAATAAATTACTATATATATTTAAGAAAATAAGCTGCCTTGTCAAGTGCAGTGCATCTATTCCTTTTGATCCCACAAACAGGGCTCCAGAACTCTTATGCAAAGAAAGAAAATGAGACAACAGGACAACAACAAAAAACTAGGTACTCAAGGGCAGCTCACTTACTTGAAACAGTTGTTGTGGAACTTGTTGTAACTAGACAATGTTATAAGACCTCCCCAAGCCGGACTTAGGGCAAAAAATATTTGCACAGCTGCTGAGACCCAAGTCTGCAAGAAAATACAAAGAAAACATCAAGCCAGTTAATATTAATCTGCTCTTGTACGTTACATAACTATATAAAATGAAAACACAACGTGTCACCATGTTGAGAACCTTCCACATACAGAAAAACTCTACGTGCTTAACTAAAAGCAAGGCCAGCTCCAGATATAGGGCCATACAGCTCAAACAGGAATTCCTGTTTTTGTGAGGCTGGCGTGGCCAGTCAGTGGTAACAATGTTATCGAGTAGATTTATACACATATTATACTACAGTTTAATTATTTGCAACATGTTTTATTAAATGAATTATTATTTTGAAGATGAATGAATTGGCTATTAGAAAATATTTATCTTCAAAATGATAATTCATTCAATAACATACGTTGCAAATTAATCGAACTGTAGTTCAATATGTGTATAAATCTACTCAATAACTGTTACCACCAACCGGCAATGCCAGCCTCACAAAAACGGAAATTCTCGTTTCAGCTGTATGGCCTTATATCCGGAGCTGGCTGTGACTAAAAGCAACAGAAATAATTTCACACAAACTGCAAATGAACCAACTGATTTAATTAGCCGAATGAACTTACTACTCTCTGCCCCAATGTGTTCTATGCTTTATATTTATTTCAATGGACTGTACAAGTGTCCCAAAAAAACAATAAAGAATGTGCAGATTAGCATTTTACTTCTGCTCTCAATAGGAAAAATACATGCTGTCACCAAAAATAATCATGAGCATGTCCACAAAAATCACTGTCAACTGACTGACGGATTATGCTTCATTGGAAGTTAAAGATAGAAGGTGTTTATTGGCTTATGGTGCTGAAATAACTCCACAAGAGTTTATATGATAACACACACACATAAAAAACAGACAGACACATAGAATAACTTTCAAAAACTGACCTGTGCTTCAATTAGTTTATCAAAGTTTGGTGTCAGGTAATAAATAATTCCATCTTTTGCTCCATCCAAAGTGATACCACGGAAGAATAAGATGGTTAGGACAACATATGGAAACAGAGCTGTGAAGTAGACTACCTGAAATACAATTTAAAAAAATTAAGTGACACAGATTGAATTATGTTTCAGGCAAACATTATGTATACATGTGTGTGTGGTGTGTGTGTGGTTGTGGTGTGTGTGTGTGGGGTGTGTATGTTTGTGTGCATGCACGCGTGAGAGAGAGAGAGATAAAGAGATTACAGGACAGACAGACACACAGACAAAAACAGAGATATACATAGAGAAACAGGGAAAGAAAGAGAGAAGGGTTAGAAAAGTTTAGAGTGAAAAGAAAAATTATGACATTCAAAGCAACAAATATTTTTATTAAAAATGATAAATCTACTCAGCCAACCTATTTACATTACAGAATACATTTTAATTAAAAAGAAAAAGTAAGTGTACCTTTATACAAAACACCAAGACGATACTTGTGAGACAGTATGCATATGTAACAGTGAGTGAAAGAAAGTATGTAGATGTGTTGAAGACACCCCAGACAGTGCTGGTGAAATAATCTGCATACATGAAGATGTGACTAACAGAAAGTATGAGTGCACATACAAACACGTATTGGTGGGGGTGGGCCATACATAAAACAAGCACAGAGAGCCTGCAATAAGACTATGAAACAATCACAGCATCTGTGAAACATATGGGAAAGAAGGTAGCAAGTGGTGTTCATTTAGAGCAAAAGACCTTACCTTTCCTACACTCTTGACCCCTTTGCTGAGGGAGAAGAAGGTCAAAGTCCAGGTAAGAAGCAAACACAAAGCAATCTGCCATCTAATTGTTCCCAGGTCTTCTATACCGTCTGAAATCCCAAGTATTTCATTCCTGCAACAGTACAAAAGTAAGATTATTATATGCCCATTCAAAGGCCAATTTACACATGAGCAATGCAATGATCAGACAACAGAAATAATGCACACTCAAAATTCATGGTGCCGAACTATGGAGAAGGACAAGCAATTAAAAAGTGAACTGGAATCCTGGAAAATGTGTGTGAATATACACACAGAGAAACACATATGAGAATTGGCTGTTTCCTCATAAATACAAATATAGAACTAACACAGAAGTTTAAGAAATGAAGTTGGAGGGAGTGGGTGGACAGGGGGGGAGAGGGGGGGGGGGGGGGGAAGAAAGAGATAAGAGAAGATGATGGGAGGGAAGAAGAGGGAGAGACCAAGACTAAGAGGGGGAGAGAGAGAGAGGAAGAGAGAGAGAGAGAGAGAGACAGAGACAGAGAGAGAGAGAGAGAGAGAGAGAGAGAGAGAGAGAGAGAGAGAGAGAGAGAGAGAGAGAGACACTCTGGCCACTTTAAAGACATGATACTAAAACCATACAACAGGAACAAGCAAAGAACAGTGAAGGAGATGTCAGAGTTTACAATCAAAGTGGGTGATACAATGTACTGGAGATCCATAGCAACCAGCAACTGTGAGTGAATAATAATAATAACGTCCTTGATGTTAGTGTCAAAGTGGGTTTCTGGTTTCTGAGCCGTCGTGGTGTAGCGGCTAGATACTCCCCTGCGGAATAAAAGGTCGTGGGTTCAGGTCCCGAGGGAGCTGGACTTTTCTCAAAAATGACTTTGAATCCCAGGTCAACCTAGCCTTGAGTGAGTACCAGCCATAGTCTGGGAAGGAAAGAAGGCAGCTAGTGGGAAGCTAGTTGGAAGCTGACCACATTATTCAATGAGTGCCGACTAATCTACACAATACACAATTAGCCTTAAATGCCTGAAGGCATGGATCTTGGCGGATCTTGTTTTAAAAGGTGTTTGTTTTGCTTGAATCCAATCCTTTCATCTTAAGTGTCTGGGTTGGTAGACAACGTTGAGTATTTTTACTAAAATACACACATAAATGCACAAAGCCTAAAGGACTCTCTTTAGGCTAGTGATGCATGCATATGGTGCTAGTTTTGTATTTGTATGTGTACTTGACATGTGAGGTAGTAGCATCCTGTTGGCCCCCTTTTCTTCCCACATCAGTTTTAGAAAACTGCTGAGGTCTGACAAATACAGTAAACACAAGCCATAAGATACCAGAGACACTCTCAAAAGTAAAAGTGGCCGGCGTGGTGTTGATAACAATCCTTACTGAGTGCAGAATGTCCAGTAAAAATAAATCTAGCATCATATGTCCCTTGCATAGATACCATTCAAAGGGTCCTTCATTTTACATACTCTTCTTCTTCTTCTTGACATTTACCAACTGTAAAATCTGGCAGAAGCCTCTGGTTTTTAGTTCACTTCAGGAGTTTAGTCTTGTTCAAAAACTTGAGTTTTGCATGCATATCTGTTTTACAGATCTGGCTGAATTGTACAAAGACTGCTGCCTCCACATCTCTTGGACTCCAACTCTGAAGAAAATCTGCCAAATAAGTCTACTTTTATGACACCACAAACTCAATCCCCCATGGGACCCCAGAACCCACATTGGGAACTTTACTTACAAGAGACACTCCACATTTTTAAATAACATGAACAGGGCCATGTGAGATAAATGGGGCGAAAAAACCTAAATAAGACAAGCACACACAAACTGGGTATACTCACACTGAGATGCCCAATCTGGGTGGCATCTTTCCCAGGGCAGCTCACTTGTGAAAGATTTAAACATGTACAGGAAAGCCCATCCTATAAGAACTGTATAATAAAATGCCACCATACATGAGACAGCCACCATTGCCAGCCCAATGCCTGCATGAAAAAAACAAAAGACAAATGCAAGGGCTTTTATAATAATTCTTTACAACATGGCTATTCAGCTAAATTGACTCAGCAGCAAAAATTTTGAAAATAAGGATTTTTTTAACGGGACAAACGCCAAAGATTCAACACAGAAACATTATTAATGAAATACAATTGGCAACAATCTACTGGCCACTTACTAGTCCTCCGCAGGCCAGCTTTGGCCTGCCGGCCGCCGGTTAAATAGCCCTGCTCTACAAGATAACTCCAAGTAAATTTTTAAATATGAGAATGCTGTCTCCACAATCATGATTGGTGACAGTATATCCATTACCATCTTTGGGAACAGTACATAGTGAAGTCCCAATCTCTTCCATAGTGTGACTTTACCATCATTTGAAAACAAGGAAATTGTTTCTGTCCCAAGCAGTGCATAATGTGTTTGTTGGTAGATCTCAGACAGGGTTTTTTTTTCTTCTTCTTCCTTTGCTCGTCTTAAATAAGTTGTCTATATCACTAATTTTGTTTCTTGTATAAATTTAACTGTAGATTTCTTCTTCATTCCATGCCTCGTCTCATTATTAGATTAACGTTTCATAAACACACCGTTAGGGTCACTGTTTCTGTTCACTTATTGTATTATGTGACGCCTTCAGATGCAACATAAACTAATTTAAAATTATGGCTTTGGGCAGAATAAATGTCAGTAACTGAATGGGAAGGAGAGAGTTAAATTGCAAACCCTAGTATCTAAAGATCATGACATTTTTAAGCTCATTCCCTAACTGCAATTCAAGCAAATAATCAGATTCAAACTACAACAATTATCATTCTCATTTGGTATAATGGGGCATTATCTTTAAAATGTCAGCAGCCCAACTAAATATACTCATGCTACATTTTCTGGCAACAGCAAATACTGATGCTTTCATTTCTGGCATCAGCAAATAATGATGTTATAATTTCTGGCATCAGCAAATAGCAATACTATAATTTCTGGTATCAGCATATAATGATGCTATAAATTCTGGCATTTTCAAACGATGCTATAATTTCTGGCATCAGCAAATAATGGTGCTATAATTTCTGGCATTTTCAAATAATGCTGCTACAATTTCTGACATCAGCAAATGCTGCTGCTATAACTTCTACTATAGTGATGCTAATAACTGTCTTACACTAACACACAGTAATGCTTTAAGCCATTAGGTTAAAACTTCTGACATCAGCAAATATTGATGCTGTAATTTATGGTAGCAAATACAAATGCAAAAATTTCTAAAATCAGCAAATATTGATGCTATAATTTCTGATAGCAAATATTGATGCTATAATTTCTGATAGCAAATATTGATGCTATAATTTCTGATAGCAAATATTGAAGCTATAATTTCTGATAGCAAATATTGATGCAATAATTTCTTATTGCAAATATTGATGCTATAATTTCTGATAGCAAATATTGAAGCTATAATTTCTGATAGCAAATATTGATGCTATAATTTCTGATAGCAAATATTGATGCTATAATTTCTGATAGCAAATATTGATAATTTCTGATAGCAAATTTTGATGCTATAATTTCTGATAGCAAATATTGATGCTATAATTTCTGATAGCAAATTTTGATGCTATAATTTCTGATAGCAAATATTCTTATAATTTCTGAAGCAAATACTGAGGTAACTATATGCGTTGTCTCTGGAAAATAATTCTTATAAGCAGATCTGTTTTCAGACAGAATCACATACCACTGACTCACAACTTACCATTAAAAATGGGGCAAATTCTGTCAAAAATGGCTGCTGGTCCAAGGGCAGCAAACTGACCGAAGCTCAACTCCAAGAACATCAGGGGAAAGCCAAGAAGTAGAAACATCAGGATAAATGGAAATAAAAAAGCTCCTGTGTAGGGGAAAAAAACAGATGTTTATAAAGACTGCTGTTTATTACAAATGAGTTATGTGTGTTAATTGACCAATCATCCTCATTGCCTTTCAGACAAGTCCATATGAGTTATGTGTGTGTGTTTATGGTAAAAGTAAAGACCCAATTGTAACGTCAGTGGCAAATCAGGCATATGATTTAAGACTCATAGTTCTATAGACCAGTGGCATTTGTGGCTAATGTGGTCAACATCATACTAGCTGTCTTTACTTTCCAGGTCACTAACTAGTACCCATTTAAAACTAGCATTGCCTGGGAGGAAGCCAAGGTCAATTTTCCCAAATAATCCGATTCTCTACAGATTTGAACCCAAGATCTTTGGGCCAGCAGGTGAGTACCTAGCCTCTGTACCCTCCTCTGTGTGTGTTTATAAATTAAGAAAGGTGAAGTAACTTCAGCTACACAATTCACAAAACATTAACAAGTTTTCAGTGGGGGGTGGGGGTAAAAACAGAGTGTCATATGTTTAAGCTGAAGGCATGGTATGTAAGTTAATGGCCTAATGAGTTCAAGGCTTGATGTAAGGGTTAAATGCTGGATTAAGATCTAAGGGTTTTATGTAAGAGTTGATGGCTTAATGCAGGTGCTGAGGTCTTGGTGTAATTGTTAAGTGTTGAGGACTTGGTATGTTTTGGGGATTGGTGTGAGTGTTGAGGGTTTCATGTAAGTGTTAAGGACTGGTTGTAAGCGCTGAGAGCTGGGTGTCAGCGTTGAGGGTTTCGTGTAAGTGTTAAGGACTGGTTGTAAGCGCTGAGAGCTGGGTGTCAGCGCTGAGGGTTTTGTGTAAGTGTTAAGGACTGGTTGTAAGCGCTGAGAGCTGGGTGTCAGTGTTCAGGGCTTGATGTGAGACATTATGGTTTGTAGGATTGAGGACACCCACAGCGGTAAAAGAGGAAGTGAAGAAGAAGAAGAAGGATTGAGGGTTTTGTGTTAAGGGTTTCGAGCTTGGTGTAAATGTTGACGGCTTAATGTAAGTGCTAACAGCTTGACATAAGGGTTGAGGGGTTGTCAAATTGTTGAGGGCTTGTTGTTAATTACAGTAATGCTTGAGAGCTTAAACTCTCAACAGCTACAGTAAGAGAAGATGAAGATTAGTAACAGGTGAACGGTAACTACGAGAAATCTCATCTCCAGGTGACAGGTAACTATGAACAGAGATCTTTCCTCCACTACTGATTAGTAACAGGTGAAAGATAACTAAGAAGAGATCTTACCTCCGCCATTGCTATATGCCAGGTAAGGAAACCTCCATACATTTCCCAGGCCCACGGAGTAACCCAAGAGTGACATGAGGAAGTCGAACCTTCCAGACCAGTTTCCTCGGTCATCAACTTCCTTTGGTTCCTCTTCTTCCACATCATCATCAAGTCGTGTAAGCACAGCAGTACTGGAGACATCCTGGACCAGCTGATCTTGTGCACTCTGCAGAGGGAAACAGAAATGACAAAGTGTTATTAAACAAATATTTTCTTCCATATCACACAAAACAAACATCAATAGCATTCACTGGCTGTAAACTCAAGACTGAAGTTCTGGTTGTTTTCCACTTCTGGACTTTTTCCAGAACATGAGTATTGCGTGCACATTGGTTTAACATATCTGACCTTACTGTGTGCAGATTGTTGGTTTCTTGCATCTCAGGCAAATGGACTGCAACACTGAAGATAACCTGCCAATTAGTCGACTCTTATGACATACTTGTTGGGTAGGCAGTGGGCCTATTCTTGCTTTTTTTTTCACATAACAGGGTCTTAGAACCTACATGGAGATATAAGATAGTGTATATACAAAAGAGGAACATATAAAAGTGGTTCAATAATATGCTGTTACATACTGTTCTTACAGCGTGAAAAGCTGAAAACCTAATGTTATAGCAGGGTAGATAAGACTCCTAATCTTGGCTAGCTGCTGATTTAGGAAGGAAGTTTTGAAAGGCAGATAGATGAGCACTGCGCTTCTGATACAGCAGCTTTTGTGGCATGCTCTGTACTAAACATACCAGTGTTACCTTTCCTTTGTAATGAACAAGGCAGGCTGAGGGATGGATCAAACTGCACGAGCAACACATGGTCTCTACAATACTGCACAGGCTTTGTTTTATGGAGGGAAATAACTTCATCCCTGGAAAGAACTTGGTGTGATTCCCCCGCCTTTCTATCAAATAATATAAACCTATCACCTGGAACGACGGAAAGTTCCAACCAAACTATGACAGTACAGTTTTTTGGTGTGAGGCCTTTTAAGAACCATAGGGTACAAATTTATTTAGTATCAAAGCAATGGGACTAGCACCACATGCCAACTCAGGGGGTCTCTGTGGCGAAGTGGTCAAGCCCTTTGCCTCACCCTCTGAAGGCTGTGTGTTCGTTGCGTGGCTGCGCCGTTCGGTTCACAAGTGCAATTTTTACGGAGATCGCCGGAGCTACGGAGTTTGTGCTTTGTGCTGCTCTCTAGGTAGGCAGTTAGCAGTTCGTCGGAGAAAGACTGTGCCATACTGGATAAAGCCTGGTGCAATGAAGTTAATCCTCTGGACATTAACTTTTAACCTTTTAGGCAACACACCATATAATTTGTATTGATATGAAGTAAGCCTTAAAAATATTAGCAGAATAATTTATGTGTGGGTACACAACTGATTAAGCAAAAAAATGCCCAGGTAAACTGAATACTGACTTTCCAAAACTCACATTGTGAAGCCCTTTTAAAAAAAAGTTTCTGAAAGACTGCACTTATATACATAACAGTATTTGCCTTTCAACCTTTTGTTAGCAGGCATGTGACAGGAAAATGAATATTATTTTCAACCCTTAAGAATTTAACTCAGCGGTGTTCATACAATGGAATTTATTATAATATTATCAGTTATGGCAAATAATGCGTATAAAGTTCATTATAATTGTAAACACTTGAAAAAAAAAAACTATGTAATAGTATAATTACTTTTTGAAAATGAGTAAAATAATACAATTTTAGCAAAGATCTTACAGAAATATAAATATATATAACAGTTAACATTTTTGGTAAATACAAAATGGTATAACAATGGTAAACATGTGCTGGAAATAGACTATAAAAGAAAACATCTGTGAGAAATACAAAACTAAATAACAACAATAAATAGTTGTGGGAAATGTCAAACCATAATAATAGAAAACATTTGTGGGACAATTTAAACTTCAATAATAGAAAACATTTGTGGGAAATACAAAAATAAAAAACTAACTAAATTGTAAACAGGAGACAAACTACAACAATAGAAAACACTTGTGGAGAAAAATCTTCAACAATAGAAAACACATGGAAATATTTTTTTTTTTTAATTTTTTGCCTGTGGGGGAAATATTGTACAATAATTAAAGAAAACGTATTGGGAAATAAACTATCATAGAAAATACTTATGGGAAATAATAAACAATAATTTAAAATAACACTTGCGAAAAAAATACAAAATAATAGACTGCTAAATGTGAAATCTTACTGAGATAAATAACTCAGATCTCATTTACCTATAAATGGGGTGGGGGGAGGGTGTTTGTTTTATTTCAGCTTTTATATTATAACAGTAACAACTGATACACTGTTCATATATGTACACTGTTTTATAATATACATACACATACAAGTACATATAAAAAGTATGTACAATGTCAGCTACAGATGTGCTGCTTAATTAAAGAGAAAGCAAAAAGGGGGAGGAAGGACTTATCTATGCCAGGAATGGACCAATGCATACACAAGTATACAAAAGTGGGGAACAACATTGTCCGTTTGTGTCATGTTGTGAGCTGACGTGACAAAGACTTTCTAGCTGCAGTGTTCATTTTGTGAACCAACGTGCAGAATCTTCTATAGCTAATCGAACTTCACAGTTAACCAGGTGTACCAGTGTGCGGATGTTCTTCCGGCTCCTGGGAGTGTCCGTACTGGAGCTCCTCCTGAGGTCGAGAGGCTTAATAGGGTTGGTCCAACCTGCCCTCTGGTCTCACATTTTATCCCCGTTTGGGTTCCGAGGCCTAACTGTGGGGGAAAACAAGAAAAGACCCACTTCTTCTTCTCCTCCACCTTGTACCTCATCGAAGTGTCGGGGACTGATGTAACATTCATTGATGAGCTCTTTCAAAAACACTATTAGGAATGATGTTAATTTCTGTAAGGACGTTCTTAATGCCATCACTTCATCTTTTTCACTTGCTCTAGACCAGCTGTAAAGTTTTGTGTGGCTCGCTGTGGCAGACAGTACCAGGGCATTCTTGTTACGTGTCCAAGCCACTTCATTTGTTGTTCTTTGATGACCTATAAGAATGGCTTTATTCCTAGCATTCGTCTTATTTCGTATTCAATCTTTCCTTGGAACTCCTGCAGTTCTTTTAAGGCATTTTATCTCTGTTGTCACAATTTTACGTTCACAGGAGGATATAAGTGCCCATTTTTGGCACTGACAGCATAGTTATGGCCAAAAATTAGTTCTGATAAGATTCACTTTAGTACTCTGAGGTATCTGCTTGTGTGTCAACAGGGGAGATAGTTGCCCCATTACTTGATTAGCTTTGGTACATTTTAAGCTAATTTAGTTTTCCGTTGGATGTGAAAATTGCTCCCAAATACTTATATTCCTCTGTCTTAAGGTGTTGTTTTGTAATTGTATTTCTAAATTGTCTTTCTGTCTTCCTATCACCATTGTCTCTGTCTTTGTAGTGTTTATTTTCATTTATATTTATAGGAACCACCAGTCTGCATGCAAATATGTCAGACCTGTGAAACGGATGTGCATGCAACACTCACAGTTTCTGGAACAGAAGTGGATGAACAACCAGAAGAACTTTCTGACAGAGTTTACAGCTAGTGAATAGTAAAGAAGAAGCAGAAGAAGAAGAAGAAGAAGAAGAAGAAGAAAGAAGACAGCCAAACACAGGATATTTTTTATAAACTCTCAAGTGGATTTGATTGAGTTGCAAGCGAATCTGCAGCAGACTGCTTTGTGATTGTGATAATGTAATAAGCATCGGTGGTCAACAAAGTAATGGCTAACTACTGAACGTCAAACTGCCAAGTAAAATCACAAACAGATCCCCAAAAAATGATGGTAGACGTGTATGGAACTATTTTAGCACTCAGCCTGCGAAGAAGTAGAAAACCGGTGCTCCTGGTTTTTACTATGATGAGGTACTGTTTCCAATTACCCCCCCCCCCCCCCCCTCCCGGGCAACTTTTTAGAATGACCTGTAACGAGCACATTTGCTTGGGGGGGGGGGAGCATTTGAGTGGGTGTCGCTGTGGGAAATGGCTTTTTTTTTACAGAATTTATTTACAGAATCTGGATATATGTCTTTGCCGTCAGTAACAATAATAACTGCCCGCCATATCAAATGAACAAGAACTGCTTGTAAGGCAAGAAATATGTAACTCAGTCAAGTGTCCCATTAAAATTTATTTATTACTCTTAATATTTTACGAGAAACACCAGATCATGATGGGTCAGTATGCGTTGGAGCAGGTTAACCAGTTCAAATACCTTGGATTGTATTAGACCAAAATGGAGGCATTAAGATTGAGCTGGCTACCCCAGCTGCTGGGAGACTCTTCCAGGCCATAAACCGAGGGTTTTTAGCAAAAGAGAAATGGCAAGAGAACGAAAATGGCTGTTTACCGCTCTACCTATGTACCGAGTCCTGCCTATGGGGTGAGTCATGGGCAATGACAACAGCTCACAGAGCCAGCTGCAGGCCTCGTGAGATACCTGAGAAAGGTGGTCCAAGTGACAAGGGACAAAGTCCGCAATCAGACAATACGTCAAGATCTTGATACCCAGCCTTACTAACCCGAGTGGATCACACAGTTACGATGGGTTTTGGACATGTGTACAGAATGGGGAAATCGGCCACCATGGCAAGCTGGGCCTAAGAACCGAGGGAACAGATCCGGGACGACCCAGGGTGCGCTGCAACATCCGACAGTCCAAACTGAACAATGGAACAAAGCCAGTAAGAAAAAACTGCTGAAGAGACGTCTGTTATCTCTCTGGCAAACCTCTACACCTCAAGGTAGAAGAGGAGCGACTAAGTAAGTAAGTAATATTTTACGCCCAATTAAATGCTTTGGAATTGCTTTGATTTTTCCCCAGAAAAATCCACAATTTCAAAGATGCAGGTCTTTGCGGCCCACACTCCTTTTCCCCCTTTCCAGGTCACCAGAGCAAAAGGTTTAAAAGTGGATATAAGACCTATTAAGAGTTCTAGCTAGTAGTTAAACACTCGGTTCTAACATTGAATCTAAGAGGCATCACAGTAAATTACATGTGGAGGTGCAAACAGATTTCACATGAAACTAAATGTGGGTTGTGTGCAAACAGATTTCACATGAAACTAAATGTGGGTTGTGTGCAAACAGATTTCACATGAAACTAAATGTGGGTTGTGTGCAAACAGATTTCACATGAAACTAAATGTGGGTTGTGTGCAAAAAAAAAAAAAAAAAGATTTGACTACTTTGTGCTTGCTGTTTTGTGTAAATACACTAGTTGCTGTTTTAAGTATTTCAGAAACAAAACATATTTGTGTCTTCAACCTTATATACAAAAGTATACATCCAGACACCTCGAGTGTGTCAGCACCCCCCATGCATTATACCAGCAAACACAAATAATCCCTTAAGTGAAGCAATGAACTTCGGAATTTAATTTTTTTTTCATATATGAAGTAAGTTGGCAGACCTAATGATTAGTGAGGTTAAACTCCTGCAAAAGTAGCAAGTGCCCTTCTGATTGTGTACACTTGTCCATCATTCTTGTCAAAATCTCTGGCAGGCACTTTCATAATAATCCTCCAGTGTTTTGTTGTACAGGCACTGCAAAAAGGCACACACATTATAGATGACTGCAATGCCTCTGCTCCCAAGTCTGTCATCACAAAGCAGAAGATTTGATTTATTTCACACTGCCCAGACTCCCCATCTTCTTCTTCTTTCGTTCACCTGAAATAAGATGTCTATATCAGCAATTTTGTCTCTTGTATTAATTTCACTGTTGTTAATTCCTTCAGTGGTCCATAGAGTCCACGCTCCACCGTTGATCCCTCTGGCAAAAAGGTCTGCCTTTATTTTTCAAACCCGGTGCAGTCCCGGAGCACATGCTCCGCCATCCGGGGCACCTCTCCACAGGCGCACATGGCTGATACGCCCATCTTAAACTCTGTGCACATGTGGCCACGCAATCGGCCGCGCCCTGTTCGGAGGCGGAGGCTAAAGACTCCCCAGATTTTGCTCCTTCTGACTTCTTGTATCCACAATTTAATGATCCTCGATCTGATGAGCCAGAAGAGATCAAAATGTGGAGAGCTTAAGACTATTAGTTCCTACCAGGCATGCTTCCGTCATTTTCAAGAAAATATATACAGTTTGAAGGACGTTAATCTGAAGGATATAAAACCTACTAAACAGTAACATCTACCAACTTACTACCATTAAAAAAAATCCAGTTCCCAAACTTAATGATCAACCCTCACATTAAACCAAAATAAAACTGTGTAAAGCAATTTACAGGCCACATTTGTTTGTGAATAAAAATAAAAGTATTCTGAACCAAAGAAAAAACAATTTCAACAGTAAATCAACTGTTACAAGAGACCCACAAAAGTCAAGCAAACATTTACATTGTCTTCTAGTGCTGCTTCACTAAAATCCTCTTTATACCACGCTATCGTTGACCTCTTCGACTGGGTATTCTCCAAGCCGTCACCTACGCCCAGTGTTTTCATGCACATCCCTTCTCGAAAGCGGTGCTGGTGGTTAACTTGAGTACCCCTCTGGAAACAAATGTTGAGATTTGCACACAGACATGCAACGCACACAACAACAACAAAACCTGGCACTTCCACAAAACATGCAGTAAAATTTTCCTTAGTTAAACCGCTAGTTTTATCAAACAACAGTCTGTCTGATAAGGTAAAGGTAAAAGGTAAAGGTGAGAGGTTTGACATCATTGCACTGGATGAATGAATAAGATGCGCAGCATACAGGACACATCAAGAAGTGCTTAGTTCCCCGTGTGGGCTCCTGGACCCCCAGTGGCACTGTCGATGGGGGGGGGGGGTGGATCCTGCTCCTTAACAAGCAAGTTATGAAAGGCAACTAATTACCGATTTGTTGAAATTGGATGTACTGGCAGTGAAAGGCAAAGATTTCACAGCAGTAAATCACAAAAACAGAAAATATCAAAAGCCATCTTAAGGGTGAAAGCAGAAGGGAGAAAAATTTTATCCAAATGGTAGGACTATATGCAGGAAAAATCTATAGGTGTTCAGCAGTCCGCATGCTCCCCTACACATACCCACACATAAATACATAGATACACACACGCTTACACGTGCACGCACCTATATTTATTCTCTCAGACATACATGTCAGTGTAACCGCATTGACTAAGAGCAGTCAAAAATAGTCTAGTGCAATGTCAGTTCTTCCATAACACATACCAAATTGTCAACAAACCCGCTACAACAAGAAAGAAATAGGGAACCAGGATTTCCTGTGAGGAACAACTGCAACTGAAGCCAGGCCTCCGCCTCCTCAAAGAATCAAAGTGTGTGAAGGAGGAATGCCATGGGAACTGTTTGCCTTATATCAACATAATCTACCTGCCAACTCTTATCTGTTACGTGGAATGTGCCCTAAGATGCTCATACAACCAGAAGATTTGTTCAACCTTTAGCCAAAGTCCACATTGCAGAAGCAATTAGATAATATTGAAATAGAAGCAGTCTGGGTTTGTACTTGTGTTTTAGGGGAGGGTAAGTTTTCTGCACATACACAGGGTGTCCACATTTGTCTTGTGAAATTATGGCATAGTGCTCAGTCTCTACCTTCCTTTCTTTATCTCCTGTGCAATCAATTCATTATTATTACAGGAAGCCGGTTTAGCACTTTTGGCCTCTCTCACAACAGTTCACTTTCATGGGGTTTTTTGGGCTTCCTTGTTCTTTTTCTTTCCCATTTTAGTGCATGTTTGGTGATTCTCTATTAACTTCTTCTGAGGATGTGTCGGATATAGCGCCATGTTCTTTGTCTTATAACTTGTTACCCCTGACTGTCCAGACAATTCCTCTTATTTCTTCACCCCTCTTGAATATACTCCCATTTTATGCAATGATGTAAATACCCTGCAAAGTCTATGGTAGATCTGTGTTCATCACCATTATTTTTTTGGGGGGGGGGGGGGGGGGCATGGTCTCTGACATTATTATATTAAATGTTTATAACATACTGTCCCCTATTTCTTATGACATGTTACCCAAAAACGTCTCTAAATTTCGTAAGGATAATGCTCAATTTATGTTAATAAACAAGAATGGATCATTGTTAGAAACCTCATCGTTGTAAATGACAATGGGAGAAAAAAACCACAAGAACATCAGATAAACAGCATAATACATATTATTCCTGTACCTAAAGATAATAATAACACCACAGGTCAAGCAAACTGTATGGGAACTCCATAGCTGTCAAATAAGTTATCTGTCATGTGAGCTTACTATTTAAAGTTAAAAAAAGAAAGATCATTTTTCACGCCTTTAGGCGTATCGGGTATATGGGAAGAGCGCCCATATTTTTACAGACCATCGGCACTCGATGGGTAATGTGGTCAGCATTACGCCGGCCGTCTTTACTTTCCCAGGACAGTTACTATTAAATTAGCAAGGTTAAACAAACATGTGTTAAAAAACCAAAATCCCCACGTGTAACATACTGAAATAAACCTAGCTTAGAATGCAGTCAGTAATTTTCACTAAATGCTGACTGTTTCGGAAAAAGGAGAGGGGGGGGGGGGGGGGGGGCTCATCTCGATACTATCATAAAAGATAATGAATTTTAAAAAACGTAACGAAATCATTAGTTCTGAAGGGAAGTTCTATCTATATCTGCAATGCTGTCTCTAGTATGAACTTCACTGTCTTTTGTAATTCACTTAGCGGATTTCTTTAGTGTACTGTGATTACAGCAAGGCATGTGATTGTGTCCAACATCAGAAAAAGTGGACTGTTGTGAGAAGTATGGGGTTTAAAGCGCATTTGGTGCATTTAATTGAAAGTGAACAACAAGCAGCCATAAGAGCAGCTGGTGAAACATCAGATTGGTTCGAGGTGTCAACCGGAGTGAGGCAGGGGTGTATTCTCTCACCATACCCATTCAATAAATACGCAGAAAATATAATGAGAAATGTCAAAAATGACCAGACTTCTGACTGTTATTATCCGCTCAAAACTGGTGGCAACCCTATTTTGGAACTTTGCTACGTAGATGACAGTCCTCCTTTCAAACAGCGAGAAGGGAATAGAAAATTTAATATTGTCTATTCAAAAGCACGGTAGGTCAAAATCTGTTCTTGAATTTGAAGAGAAAAAAAATAATATCCACATATAAAACTAGTTGTCACCCAAAAATAACAATAAATGATGAAGAAATTTAAAATGTCACAAACTCTGAATATCTAGGCTCTAAAATAAATAGCAATCCAGACTGACAGAAATTAAAAGGAGGATGGTCATAGCAATGCCAAGATTAAACAGCCTCAAAAGTCTATGGGTAAGCACCAGCAAGGAGATCAAAATTATAATTTTGAAAGCATGCATCTTCCCTGTAGCAACATATAGATGTGAGTCGTAGACTATCTCCCAGTCCTTAAGGAAGAGAATAGAGGCTTTTAGGCTAAAATGCTATAGAAAGATTTTCAGAATATCTTGGACAAAAGAAGAGGAGAAATACTGACATCTTGAAAGATCTGAACATCAAGGAAGATTGGCTAATAAACAGCATCCTGTCTCGGAGGCTGAAATATTTTGGTCACATCAAGCGCCACGACGGATTGAAAACAATTATAACAGAAGGCATGGTACTAGAAAAGAGGGGCAGGGGCATGGGCCGACCAACACAAAGATGGGCACAGGATATAAGTGACTCCTTGAAAATGAAAGTGCGTGAGGCGGGAGAGCTGGCGAGAGACCGAGTTTCTTTCAGGCAGGCCGTGATGAGAGTGAGGTTCTGCAAAGGACCTGCTACATGATGATGATGATGACTGACCAATATTAAGACAAAGATGAACACATTGCGCGAGGCTGGGATTCACGTGAACAGTCTACCATGCATCACATGGGACTGAAAGAGATAAAAAGATTGCCACCCCCCCCCCCCCCTTTTTTTTTTAAAGTGAAATAAAGTGAAACGTGTGTCTTGTTGCACCAACTGTCTTTATCTTTTATAGCTCCCTGGTCGACGCAGCCTAAAATGGGTACCAGGTTTATGTCCTGGGAAGTAAATGTCTCCGGCATATTGTTGACCCCATCAATCAAGTAGTCTGGATAGGTCAGTGAAAAATACCAGCCTGGCGTTATATGCCCGATGCATCACTGGTTGGGGTGGGGGCTTAATTGTTCAAATCTACAAACTACATTACTGAGCCAACTGTTAATCATAAGCCACGGGGAAGAGAACAGTAATCTACACGTGTGCATTTTTATTTTTCTTGAATGAAATGTTATTCATCCTATACCAATAATGGTGGCCAATCACTTCATCCGGCGATAAGGCGAATCTTCGACCATAATTTTTGTGGGGATTTCAAAGCTGAAGTGTGCATAATTTCCGGTTTCTATCTTCACTATTCGCTGAGACCAAAATGAGGAGCATTACTTTCGGTATCTCACGGCACTAACATGAATGCTACAGTTCTTATCAGACTGCAACTCCTCAGGCATGGGTTACAATGATTAGGTGGCCCACTAGTTGTCATATCTCCCTAGTATTGTCAGTTTTGGAGAAAAGTTAACTGACGACCAGTGGAGTGTCAAAAACCACACACAGACGATTTCAAAAACCATCTACAAACGATATCTTTACCCTCTCTAGCCTATCCTCTTCTTGTCTATAAACTGCTAGCAGATTGCAGTTCCCCTCTGCGCGTTCACGGCTGTACACTCCGCTGGAAATGGCTGGTTTCTCGTCTATTTCTGGACTTAAAGTCTTGTTCCGTAATTTGAGTTCATTTATTTTACAGTCCGCACATCCATTTATTTCGGAGAAAACACCCCTAGTCAGTCACCATTTGCAACATCCTTGCTAGGAATGCAGAGTGTCTTCTCTTGGTCCTTCCCCCCCCCCCCCCCTACAGTGGAGCCCGGGACCTTACACGAGGAAGATAACGGTTACTTGTCTTGTATTCCTTTCTCTCCTCCTTCAATGGAGAAAGAGCCTCCAATAGAGGATGGGTAGTTTTTAAAGGTGAATCTGCCTGATGCCGAGCCACCTCCGCCTTTATTGGTCTCTTACGGCATGCGTAGTAGCTACAATGGCACTTTTTACTGATTCGTCTAAGGACGGGATCGATCGGTAACACGCTGACTCTACTTTAATTTCTGAATAAGCCTCAGGCTGGATTTCCCGGATTACGGCTAGCGTAATATGGTGAATATGGTCTGACGCGGGAGTGGTCAGTCCATCTCACACCATGAAGTCATCTGACAATTGCGCGTGCATCTACACCTTTGAAAATCTAAATACGCCCCCCGCCCCCATTTTTCCCCCAATAAATTCACCATCTCTTAATAAAAGCACCAAGTAATCGATAAACTTAATTACATACTGACCGCATACATAAAGCTAGCAGCAAACACCTAGGCAAGCGCACCAACAAAAGAAAATATTAGAAGAGTGGGACCTTAGTCCCCGGACACATTTTATAGTAGTGGTAGTTGCGGTGTACTTGAAAGGGCATAAGCTACATATAGTTGCTTGGAACTATGAGGGGGTGGGT